GGCAGGCTTTGTGGTCGTTGACGGGTGTGAAAACGATGCGGCTCTTACGTCAATCACGCCGGTGTGACGACGGTGTTGCTATTCATTATGCGCCGTCGCCGCGGTTTATTGCCTCGCTGGGCTCTGCTGGGGTTTCGTCAACCAGCTCCGACAGCGGTTTGTGATAGGGGGCGACGTGTTTTCGAAGGGTGAGATGGGTTTGCAAAGTTACGTGTTCCTGCTGTAGGTGTTTGTTTGTCCTGACGGGAATAAAAAAGAGTAGTTCTGTCATTCTGATTAGCCCCTAACAGTACCTCATTACGTCTTACCTTGTATCATCTTTTTTCATTAGAAGAGGAGACAAGGTTTGATCAGGTTAGCCACCCACAAAAATTCTGTCACTGTGTGTGCTCATAAATATCTTGGTTTCGTATTTCCTTTCGAGCTACCGTTTATAATATAAAATCTTTCTACTGGGACTGTCGTAGGTGGTATTTTTGTGCAACGTTTACCAGCGAAAAAATTATAGAAGTTGCAATATAGTGCGGACAAACATGCCTGAGGAAGAGAACGTAGATAAACACTCCTTGCCTCCGTGCTTAGCAAGGTCAATGACGCTCTCACAGTTTCGTAAAGCCGTAATCACACTGCTTATACGTCACACAAAGGACAGTCTGCAGGTATCAGCCATCGCGATATCCGTGGTTCGAATTCCGCGTGCCAAGTTTCCCCCTTAACTCGTTGCCACGCGGCATTCGAAGCACGGATCTCGTGGTGGCTCGCGTTCGAATCTGTTTGCAAACTGTCTTTTGTATGATGTATAAGCAGTGTGGACCCGGTTTTAGGCTCCATGCCCGAAACTGCTCCCACTGCACCAGTTCACTCGGCAGGCCGTGCCAAGTAAACTGATCCAATGCAGAGCACCTCCACGGGGCCACTTAGCGAGCCGAAATAAACCGGGCAGCCTTCGCATGTCGTGGGAATTAGCATGCAGCATCCACAAAAGCGGATCCATTCAAGGCGGTTGTATAATTCCGCACGAACGACCGGCGGGGGGCTTCCGTAAGAAAAACTCACCGGACCGAGACGCATTGTTTCGCCGCCGCCGCACCGACTCCATTACGTCACTATGGTCCAGTTCCTCCCGCGCTGACTGTGCGGACACCGCTTCCATTAGCCCCCACGGCTCCCGGAACCCGGTTCGAAGTCGTAGAACGATCGACTGGGGTTGTTTCTTGTTGCCCTTTTGTCTTTATGGGGTGTTAAAGTTGCCCCGTCCTGGCTTCAGGCGTACGCTATACCATTAGCCCCTCGGCTCGCAGGAACCCCGTTCGAATTCGTAGAATGATCGACTGGTATCGTTTCTTGTTGCCCGTTTGTCTTCAAGCCACAGTCACAATGCTCGTACATACATCATGCAAAAGACAGGGTGTCCGTTGCACACATGATGACAGATTTGTCTGCGGACATGGAATGTTCGGAAACATGCATCGAGCATGCTACTCAAGCATGTTCTGTGCATGTTTGCTTCACACGTGTGTATGTTTGGACATATCTGTACTTCGAACACGACTGCCTTTTGTATGACGTATTAGCAGTGTGGCAGCGACTTCACAGGCTGTTAAAGTTGCCCTCTCCTAACTGCTGTCGGATACATACGCTGCCAATAGAGAGTTTTAGTAAATCATTTCGAAATCTCCGATTACGATACCTAATGGTGATACGGTTTACGCGCAAAGACATCGCTGGAGTGTCGGGTATCGTTATCGGAGCCATAGGAACGATCTTCTAAAACCCTCTTCTTAGTTCTCCCGGAACCCCGTTCCAAGTCGTACAACGATCGACTGGGTATCGTTACTTGTTACCCCTTTTGCTTTTGTGGGGTGTTAAAGTTGTCCCGTCCTAGCTTCTGGCGTGGACGTATACGCCGCGAGTGACGCGAGGGTATGAGTTAGGGTACCTGGTCGAGCATCCACTTCCTTGTTTACCGGCGTCTGTGATGGGGTCGGAGACGCTGGAACGTTAGCGCGTCTGAAACTGTCGTTGAACTCGTCAATTTGTTTGTTGTGTTAGCTTGTTTTTGAAGTGCAGTCCCGCTATGTTGTTATTTAAGTTGAAATGGGTGATTACGTATTTCTGGGTCGTTGCAAGCTGCCTGTGGAACATGATCGATCCTTGAGCAGCCAAAACTACTTTCATACAAAGAAAAAAAAGGAAGCTTAATGTTTTTCTTTATTTTTTTTTTTTTTTTATTTTTCGGCAAACAACTTATTTCACGGGACTTCAATTACTTTTCGTAATCTGGGTTGATGACATGAACTTGCTACAATAGTATAAAGAAAGAAATTACTTCACCTCGATAAATAATTTTTTTTTTTTGCTCTATAAATATTGCAAATCTTAACAGAATGTTCTCTTCATGTTGAGTTGAATTTTTAGACAAGAGTTAACAGGTATTGCATGCAGATGGATTATGTAGGACATATCGTTCCCCAGCTAAGGTAACAAAAGTATGCACGTTCAAAAACCTCAATAAAAAAAAATTATATATATATATATATATATATATATATATATATATATATATATATATATATATATATATATATATATCAGCCCGGCATTCCTAGTCTTCACAGGTAATTTCTGAGAGCAGCTTCTGCGCTACGTGCTTTTCTGAAGCAATATACATTAAAAAAAGTTAATATTAGTATGAGTACACGTCACTGTCACTATCTTTGCCCATGAGGACCTGGCAAGCAGTAAAGGTTTACGACCCACTCTAAGTAACATATTCAGCGACAACGACGGCCTTCCTATCGCCTCGTTCGAGGTACAGAGACCTGTTTGCTCTCGCGAATGTCTAGAGCTGGAGAATTACGCATGACTGCAAATATTGTTTTTTTTTTTTCTCTAAATTAGCAAACAAGCAGAAGAAGGAAGTTCCGTTTGACGAGCAAGACCGTCTAAAAACTTGAGACACGACGCACACACACACAAAAAAAGGGTGTTACGTACTCACGCACGAATGCGTAAACACCGGCACCGAAAAGTTAAAACTTGCGCGTCGTGGTTTGTGCGCGACGCTGCCGGCTTCCCTCCTGACCTATATTCCCGGAGAGTGAAGCCACACACGCGCTGGCGACAGCTCGTCACGACGCCGAAAATAATTACAGCGTGCAATCACGCGCGCAGCTGTCTTACCCGGTTGTCCCCGTGCACACCCCAAGTTGAGGAGTAATTGCAAAGGCATACGGGCCAACGCAGACGAAGCTTGCACCACCGCCGCCATTAGGAACCTCAAAGTCGGAGCAGGCACGCCGAGGCCCCGCGTGCAAATGGCCGACGCTAAAATATGGAAAGTATCATGCAGGTCTTCGTCGTGAGTGTAAAAGGAACCCCTCAGCTACGGGTAATCGCTCCGTTACTTTGCATTTTAGATGAGGATAGAGTCCCCCCCTTTTTGTTTCTTGTCTTCTGAAAGTATAGCAGCTGCCTGTGTTGTTATTCGTTCCTGCATGCGTAGTTTTGTCCGAGTGTTGAATGGCATTGACTCGGTTAAATTTCGATTAATCGATTCAGTGCTCAAGGTGCAATACTCTTTACCTCTGGGACCCAGCTATTCATCGGCCGTCTTGAGTTCTTAAAGTAGCCATGCATCATAAGCGATTCATGCTCTAGTGGCCTGGCTCGCGTGTAAGACAACAATTTATGTGGGTTCAATGGGTCTGCTACCCATGATCGCATAAAAGCACGCGTGGAACGCGAATATTCATGAGCGCAGGCTTACGGGTCGACTACGCCTTACTTAAATTATCTCTTAAAGACCTTCGTTTTATCAGAGGCGCGTGAGTGGTGCATCATTTTACGAGCAGTATTGGCATGAGAAAATACTTCTGCAAAGAACCTATCGCTCGGCAGAGTGTAGTGGTTATAGCAGGAAAACGTATTGAAGAAATGACGACTGAAAAACACTGTCCACACGTGACCGTACAGCCATGTAACAGAGCTGTAGAAACAAAATTGTAAATTTGGGATCTTTTGTCGATTTCCACCTGCAAGAGCTCAATAGCGAAATACGCCAAAAATGACGTACCATCTTGTTCTAACTTAGATTTTAAATTACACAGTTTATTGCTTTATTATTCTTTATCCGACAGCTGGAACTTCACTCCATTCTAGGGTACACATATCTTTCTAATTCTCTTAGCCGGAACCCCAATTCAAGCCCGGGAATTCACCCGCACTTCAGCAGTTTGCCCTTCCGCATCTCCATAGTTCTTCGGTTGGTGCCGCCTTCAGTTTCGTCGGGCAGGTGCGGCCAAGCTACGGTGCCTCAAACGTCGTCTGGTCTGTTTAGCGTCCCATCCCTCGCACACGTTGGTCCCGAAGAGGCAACCAATGACGTCACACAAATGACGTCATGCTGTCGGGTGTAGCGACCCTGGCGGTGTGTGCTAGAAGCGCTGTCCTCTCTACTCCGTGTCCTCGTCTGTCCCTTTGAGCTTCATATTTAGTGCGTTGAATCAACTAGCCCACCCTACTGTTTTGCTGTTAGAGGTACCGGCAAACAGGAGGAACGAACGCGGGTGGCGCCGACTGGCGAAGCTTTCGTGGACTGTCAAGCTGACGACCGACTTGCAGCAGAACAGGCGCCTGCGATGTTTACCACCGCCGATGTGACGCAGCTAAGATCGCGGCCGGCGACAACGTGACACTTATGTGAAGTCATCGGGCAGAAATCGAGTTATGCGCAGAGAACCTGAGAGAGAAGAGGAGACGAGAGGGAACCTCAGAACGCCGAGCTGTGGTTGGTACGATTACTGGGTAGACCTGAAGCTCCTTCGTCTCGACTGCACTCGTCGAACGCGCCAGAACGCGGAACGCTGGCGTCCAGAGTTTAACTTTTACATTCGAACGCGTTCAAAGACGTGTTCCGGGCACCATAGACCTTCGGTGTCCTGTGCGAGTTCTGAAAGCTCTGAAAGAAAAGGGGGAAAAAATAAAGGCCGGAAGCTCACCTTAAATAGCTTTTCTTTCTGGTACCAGACGTCTTCCTCGTCTTCGGTCGTGAAGTCTACGTTGAGCTCGTCGCGAGACCTGGAGAGTATTTTTCGCCGGCTAATCATGGCCGTCTCGGTGTCTTCGGCCGGAGCCGACTCCTCCTTCCTGGGCTCGGTCCTGCGAGGCACAGAAACAAAGGATGGGTCAAAAGGCTGACCCTGTCACCAAAACCGCGGTCAAACCGGTAACGTATCACGCAGAAGGTAGTCGGCAGACACTAGGGAGTTTTAGGGAACAGTTTTTTTTTTTTATTTAAGATCCGGTAGGGTACGTTGGGCCCTCCGGTACGAACTGCGCATGCGTGACGACAGAAGACTCGCATATACGCAGCTCGTACCGCAGGGCTACTTGTACCGTATCGGATGTACAAAAGCCGTTCCCTAGAACTCCCTAATAGGGAGTTTTAGGGAACCGTTTTTGCACATCCGATGTGGTACGATGGGCAAAAATGGTTCCTTAACGCTCTGTTATGTTTGAAGCGTGTTTCTTCATTATGTGGCGGTCACATTGGGCCGACAAACGTTGTCCGCAGACATGTTCAAAACATAAACATCTAGAAAGCAAACATGAGTCGAACATGCGCGAGGCGTGCCCACAGACAGCTTTGTCATCATTCATGATGTATGAGCAGTGGGAGTGTGGCTTAACAATAAGAGAGCTATTGGCTATAAGCCAATTAATGATGCTGAAGACACGCACTCCATTAACGCCGCTACGCCTCAAGAACTATAGTAAACAAAAGCTTGGCTCCTCGCGGAAGATACGTAATTTTTCCTTTCATTCTGGTGAGTTAAGATACTTGCATGTTTTCGACATGTCACGTGCTATTTGATTACAACCTAGACGTTGTAAACGCCACAATCCTTATTTTTTCCCTGACGGCCAAATCTTGTAAGAACTACTGCTGGCGCAGCTTATTTATTACGTACAACACTTTATTTTTCTCGAAGGAAGATCAAGTATAGAGCCTCGGATTTCATTTTTAAATGGGCATCTAAACAGACACTGCAAACGTTCAAGGTTCGCAGATTTGTTAAGTTTGACGGGTTCATATCACGTTTTCTGGCAGCCTCTAGCCATTTGTGAACTTTTTTTTTTTTTTTTTAGCATTTAAAATATTCTGGAAATTACTGCTTGACCCTTGAAATGGCTTACAACGAAAGCCGCGAGACTCCCGCCACATTATACGCGTGCTGCGAAAACCTTAAAAGCGGATAAAATCGTCATATCTGCCCGGAAAAAAAAAAGAAGAAAAGAAGTGCACATTAGGCGGGCTGTTACGCGAATTTCGGCGGAATGCCCATCGGAGGTGTCGCTATTGGTACTATCCAACTCGGACAGGACAGCACGCGATCACAGGAAAGGTAAAAATAAATAAAATAATGAAAGATTGTGTCGAAGTATACGCACAGCCTAAAGTAGGTGTCATACTGCTCAAGAAAGTCTGCAAACACGAGTGACCGGAATATCCGTGGTCAGAGTGTCGTGCGCCAAGTTTCCTTCTTGAACTCGCTGCCATGCGGCATTCGAAGCACGGAACTCGCAGTGACTCGCGTTCGAATCTGTTTGCAAACTGTCTTTTGTATGATGTATAAGCAGTGTGACCCCGGATAATAAGTGAAACTTAGCGGCGTTTTGTGATGTGTTCAAGAATAGAAAAGAGAAAGCATCGCGGCAGAAAACGACCAAATAAATGCTATGCACACATTACGGTATTTTCCGTTTGCGTGCTTTATGTTTTCTTGGTTCATTTCAAGTTTTGTTTCGAGTTGCGTTTGAGACGCTCTGCACCTTTTTTTGTCTACATTTTATTTTTGTGTTTAGCTAGATCCAGTGTCTCCGTCAACGCGGTTGGGTCCTGCGCTAAATTAGCGCTGAACGCGGAGCAGTAGCTTTCGCTTTAACCTTCATTCTCCAGAGCTCGGTTGACCCACGAAAATCCGTCTTGTTGATAGGCCATTGTGAAGAAGGGCAAAAGTGGTGTCAGTGAACGCCAACCATCGCACGTATACAACTGTGTGACACTTTGACAAAACAGATGCAAACTTGGGGCTGTCCTCACAAACACTATACCTTATTTTTTTTTTATTCGAATTTTTCTTGTGGCAGTTTTATCAGAGTCATTCGTTACGCATGGAACTGAAAGTGGAAGAGCCGTTTTGCATGCCCACAGCTTTTTTTTTTTTTTTATGAGGACAGATATTCCTCATAAATATGCGCGGGTCGTGAAAAAGACGAGCCTCCGAGGATCTGGACATTTTTTTCGCAGCCTTCTCGGGCGGTTGAGAATAAAAATTAATTTTGTCACACATGACAAGTGATTGAGCGAGAACTAGAACTTATTTTCAGTTGTTCATTTCGTTCTTGTTGGAGAGCGAACGACTTCTCGAACGCGTATTGTCGCGGGGAAAACAAACTACTCCGCTTTAACTTGCAGCGGAGCGCAAAAAGCGGATCATCACGGCGCTCCTCCTGTTTGTGTGTTTGCTCTCTCACCGGCTAAATTAATCACGCTCAGTGCTCAGTGGATGCGTCGAAATCCAGCACCTTTCTTCTGTATGTGATTTATGTAGCCGATGATAGTAAATCACTTTGTAAAGCAAAAGTGCTTAAGTAAAGCCTGTGATAAAGCACTTTTGGCGCTGCTCGATTCACTCCATTGGATTGTACATAGCGTTTGTTTGCGCTGGCACTTGCCAAAGATTTCAGCAACAAAATAAAAGATGCTTTCCCGACTTTAAAAGCCCGCTAGATCAAAAAGCAGAAAGCATACAATTGTGTCAAATGGAAATAGTTCATTTATACACAATTCGAAGGAAATGTTGTAGTGTTACTTAACCGTGCTCATTCGATGAAAAAATGAAAGGAGGGATGGGGGGCCTCTTTACCAACCCCTAAAGAAATAGCCGCTGCTGAACGTCTTCACCAAATCAGACGCAATCGAAAACCAGCAGAGCTTCTAACCACTCGGCGGCCCCCGAACGACCTCAGAATTTGCATTCTGCGCTCGCGCGGGCGAATGTCTGTGAACCTTAACCCAGCCGCCGCCGTTTAGAAAGCGCCTGAAATTGAGGTCAGACTAAAACCGCTTCGAGACACACAACCACACACAGGCGAGCTGCGAACGATGATTGAGCGTCAATACGGTGGCCTAAGTTCCAGCGTGGGTTACTCGAGCTCCATTGTGTCGGCAAGGGTTGTACACTCGAGTAAAGCGTCGCGAAGCAGAGGCCAAGGATGCCAGCGGCGGGTTCCTTGTATCGCGCCTCGGGTGAGAGTGCGGCCGAAGCTACGTCCTCTGCCACTGCGGGCGCTAGTATCGGCACGGCGCAATCGCACAGGCCGTATTTCACGCGAATCTGGCTTAGGCGCACGCCCAATGTTCACGGCCGGAGTGGGTGTGTGTGTGTGTGTGCGGGGAAGGGGGGGGGGGGGGGGGGGGGCGTGGGCGTGTTTGTAAACAACGTGTTGGCGTATACTGGACATGTATACAGGTTACTGAAAAAAGTAACTGAATACCGTTACTCGATACTCGCTCGCAAAGCGACTAAGAACGTTACACGTTGCTGAAATTCAGAATAGACGGGTTACTTTAGCTCGAAGGTTACTGGCTACGTTTCGTTACTCCTGAATGTGTCGTTCTTTTGAAGCCGCTTTCCAATATATGATGTCGTCAATGAAGCCTAGTGTTTTTGTTTATATTTTCTTGTTTGTATTTTTGACCGCGGAAGTCACAGGCACGGTTTGAGTGAAAATCAAAGAGGGTAACTTTGGTTGTACACGTTAATTCCTCTCCAGAAGTAACTAAATAACGTTACTCGTTACTCCACCAAAAAGTAACGAAGATGAATTAATCCTTCTTTCTCTCGAAAAATGACTCAGTCGTAACCTCGCTACCGGAAAAAGTAACTAGGTAAAGTAACACGTTACGTACAAGACTGGCGTATACCCGACCGCAGAGAACGCGGTCTGCTGACGAAAGTGAGGCGATTGACTGGTTTAGCGAGCACGTAGCTTCCACCCCACTGCCAGCTTAGCCAGTTATCCAGCCGCCTCGGGAGCGTCGAACGGTTGCGTACACGGTACATCCATCCGCAGAGGCGTTGTTTCCTCTTAGAGTCGGGCGCGAAGCCGGCGAAGCTCTCTCGAGAAGAGGCCACCCGACGCCCTATATAGGCACCCGCGCAGCGTGTCTTACGGGCCGAAAGGCGTTTCTCGCGCCGCATGCGAATTCGCGGTGAGTTCTGATTCATAATTGCTGCCCTCCCTGGCGTCCTTTAGCCCGCGAGGCGTGGCGTTCTTGACCGTGATCACACGAAGACCGCTATCGGCGGCCATCATCTTCATTGTCTCGAGCATCGGAGGGCTCCCTATTTTTAATCGAGTTCTGCCGCCCGTGTTCGTTCATAGCGCATCTTGCGAACCCTAGTGGATTGTTTTTAATGCAGGCGATGAAGACCTCCGTTGGGTGTTTGGTGCCCCACTTAGCCGCTTGGCGTTTATTTCTTGCGACGAGTGTTAGGAACGTAAACGCGCGTGACTATGATATGTCGGTCTCGTTCACTGACACTAATGTCTCACTCGCATCGACAATTGAACTGCATTCGCGTGGCGGCTGCTAATGCGGCTGCTTAAAGATCCACTTCAGTTTCACGCGAACTTGGTGATGAAAAGGAGCAGATTCCTTTCGCGGTTATCAATAGATCAATCAATCAATTTTCTTCTCTTTTTTTACAGAGACAGATGGTAGGTGGGGCGAAAATCTGCAACAAGTGCAGCTTGACAAGGGCCCAGCTCCAAGATGACTGAAGCGTCAATGTAAAGGCAGCATTAGCGTGTGTCGGATATATAAGAATAGGTAGTTTGTATTAGAGATGCTTTCAGTTTACGGCAACAATTACTCGAATAAACGGAAAATATTATCGAGTGTGCAACTTGGAGGGTTTCGGACAATCGTGGCGAAAATTAAACCCACAAATTACTCCGGCTTGAAGAAATATTACAAGAAAGAAACGAAATTGAGGTATTCAGTTGCAATCTGCTCCTGCCGTCTAAACAAGTAAAAAAAATAAAACTAATTAAGGCAAGCAATGCCACGAAAGAAAGTAAGAGGCCAT